GCTTTTAATTTAGTATATTACTTTACTATTTATTTAACTTTTAAAGTAAAAGCTTAAAAGCTTTTTCTATATTATAGATTTTACTTTACTTATTAAAAATTTTAATAATTTTAAAAGCTTTTATTTTTATAAAAGTGTGTCTTATTAAAAGCTATATTTTTTATAGTAATTACTTAGTTAAGTAATAAGACTTATATTTTATAAATATTTAAAGCTTTATAGCTTACAAGATATTTTATGTAGTTTTATAAAGTTACTTTAAAGCTTTACTTTTAACGCCTAGCTGCTTACTCTCTGTTAAGTAAGTAAGTATAATAGCTATATATGTAAGTTTTGCTCTAATTAGGTCTTAAATTAACTATAGCACTTTTTACCTACTCTAGCTTATAGTATTTAAAGTAGTTAGTAAACTATGTGTCTAAGACTTTATTTAGTAAGTGTAAGTTATGTGTGTGCAACAGGCTTATATTATACAGCTATATTGCTGCGTCTACTACTTCTAGCTAGAGCTTCTTAGAGAGTCCTATGCTACTTTTTATTTTAATAAACTTTATAATTATTTTTTATTTAGCTTTTTCTATAGCTTTATTTAGCTTATAAGTATATAGTAAAAAGCTTTTAATATTAATGCTAGATTTTTTTACTTAAAGCTTATACTTTAACTTTTTATACTAAGAGAGTGTAGTAGTGTTATTATTTTACTATATTTTACTAATTTAAAGCTTATATTAATTAGACACTATGCTTTTAAAGTTCTTTATTACTTTCTAAATTTTTAAAAGTGTTTTTACTTAAAAAAAGTATAAAAAGATTTTACTACTATATTTATCTTTAATAATTATTATTTATAAAGCTCTGCTGTGCTCTAATAGCATATTAAACATGTTCTATGTAATTCTCTAAAATAAGTAAAAGGCTTACTTTTTTAGTCTTTTTAATATAACCTGCTTAGCGTGCGTTATTGCGCAGTGCTTATAGTGTACTTACTTTATACTTATTATTTATATATTTCTTACAATTTTAACTAGAGCCTATAAAGCTTTAAGGCCTAGGTGTTCTACATGTGTATACTAAAGCTCTTTTAAGTCTAAGTATAAAAATGTAGTTTATAAGTGTTAGTAATTTAAAAGCACACTTTACACTAGTAGGTAAAAAAAGACAGCTTTATATTTAATAAACATAAGGTTATGTTCTTAGTAAAGTGTTATAAGTACTTTATTCTTTTCTAGCATGCTTATGTACAGTGTATAGTTAAGTTTTAAATACTATAGTTTTTTTTTCTTTTAAATAAGCTTTTAAAATAATATTAATATAGAATCCTTTTACTATAACTACTTTTTATAGTGTAAGATTTTCTATGTGCTCTTTTTATACTTTATTTAATACTTTTTTAAGCTTTCTAGTTTCTGTTCCCTAGATTAGAAATAACTAAGTGCTAGCTTTTACTATGTGTAAACTTTAAGCTTTTCTAAATAACTTAAGTATAAGTAGCTTTATACTATTTATTAAGTGTATAGCACTCTTATTATCTAAAATTATACTTATAAAAAGTAAGTAAGTGTTAAAATTTATAGTTATATGCATTTTTAGTTTTACTAAAAGCGCTAGGTTAATAAGTGCAGTAATAATGCTTTTTAAAAATGCTAGTTTATCTAATTCTTTAATAGCTTTTAAAGTAAGAGAGGTTTTATCTAAAATTACATAGCCTCTTTTAAGTAGTACAGCTTTTACTTTTTTATACTACACTTACTTAAGCCTCTTAAAAATCTTCTAGTGTGTAGTTTTACTAAGCTTTTTTAGCTTTTTAGTAACTGCTAATATAAAGTCTCTACAGTCTACTACTTTTTATAAATAAAAAGATTACCTTAAAGCTCTGCATAAGCATAAGTAGCCTAATTAGGCTAAAATAAATTAGGCTAAATTATTATTTAATTATCTACTAAGTGGTGTAAATATACCTATGCCTTAGTTACTTATATATAAAAAGTGCTTTTAAAGTATTATTAAAAAAATTTTACTAATTTTCTAGATTATTAAAGGTTTTTTACTAAGTGCACTAGCCTTTATAACCCTCTAGTGCATAGAGCGCGCCTAGTCTAGTGCAAGCTTTAGAGCTAGAGCGTCTAGAAAGTCTTATGCAGCTAGCTAGCCTTCTATGTTAAGAATCTTATAGGTCTTTACCTTAGTATATAAAAAGTGCTACTGCTAGTACTAAGCTTTTAAAGTTATAATGCTATACTTTACCTTAGTAAGATAAACTTTATACTTTACTTATATAAAATTTTTTATGCTTATGTTTATTAGTACTAGCTTTTATTTTAAGGCTTATATAAGTGCTTATAAAGTAGATTAGTTCTCTAATATAAGCTGCATTATTATAAGTCTTAGAAGCTCTAGTGCAATAGTTACATTAACCTAGTTCTAGATTATCTAAAGATATGTTGCATAAGAAGCCTAGTTGCTTAATTAAGCTTAGTACTTAGTAATATTAGTTTAGTACTATATATTAGCCTTTTTTAAAGAGTTCTTAGTAGTAATTACTTTAAGTGTAGGCATCTTTAGAGCACAGTTTATAGGATTTAGAGCGTCTAGTCTATCTAGATTAATTATGTTCTATAGGTTTTTGCTAAGAGTATAGAACTAGAGCTAGATAAACTAGAGAGGCTAGCTTGTGTAGTCCTTAATCTAGTATACTCCTGTTAGGAGAGGAGCATCTTAATTAGCTATAACATAGGCTTTAAAGGTAATAAAAATAAGAGAGCTTCTAAACAGCTTTTACTAGCGCTATAGTTACATAAGGAGAATTATTCTAGGTTTTTAAAGCGCTAGGCCTATAACTATAAAGGATAAAATAGCCTAGCAGTAGCTGTTTAGAAGATTAGATAAAGTAACTCTGCTATCTAAGAGAGCTAAGGGCTCTCCTTATATACACTAAGCTTTAGAACATAATATCTCCAGATCCTAAGCTGCGTCCCAGGCTCTAAGCCCCAGTCCCAGGCTCTGAGCCCCAGCCAAGGCTCTTAGTATACGCGACAGAAACTTTATACATAGCTGTAGTATATTCCTTTAAAAGTGTTATATTATATTTAAAAGCCTAAAGTATAAGCTATATCTAATGTTTTTTAGCGTGTCTAAGTAGTGTTATTAGAAATGTATTAGTGTAAAAAGAGTAGTTTAGTAGAATTTTAGCAAAAGTAAGTAACTTAGGTGTGTAAGCAACTTGCCTGTAAAGTACGTTAAGTGTTCTATTATTTACATATACTTTAAGTTTTCTATTCTTTTTTTAGTGCAAAGACTACTGCTAATTCTACTAAGCTTTTACTTTTTTATATATGCTTTTATTATAGCATTTAGTTTTAGTATTTATTTAATGCTTTTTCTATGCGTAAGTTATTGTCTATAATTTATAAGTTTTTAGTTGTGCTCTTAGTACTAGGTTAATCTTATAGTTTTATAATTAATGTACTAGTAGTTCTTTAAGTTCTTCTAAAGTTTTAAACGTGTCTTTATAATTTGCATATTTCTTTATAATTTATTTTTATTGTGTAATTATTATTACTTTTGTAACGGTGCTGCTTGTCAAGCTCCGCTGCTAGTCACATGATCTCGCTAAGGGTTAAGCGAGCGCGCTAGCGCCTTGGCGCTGCGCAAGCTTTTCTCTCGCGAAAACCCTTCGCCTCCTTCACTCCCCATCCTAGTTTAGCTGAAATAGAGCCGACCTACTCTACCTTGCTTCCCCAGCTCTATACGGTAGTAGAGACAGTGCTTGTCATCACAACTGCAAACAGTAGTCTTAGCAAAAGTAAGCAACTTAGGTGTCTAAGCAACTCGCCTATAGTCTACGTTATACACTCTACTTTTTTTCTAAGAGATCTATCTATTTACAAAGTCTTACCTTATAAGTAAAAAAGGTAGATTGCTTTATAGAAATCTTTTCTTTTTTTAGATTAGAGGAAATTATCTTTCTTTTTCTAAAGGCTTGTAAGTAGAGTAGCTTTTTTAGGCTCTAGGTTGTCTTATAAATATAGTAAAGGTAGAGGCTAAAAAAAGTATTCTTAAATAGCTAGCTGTCTATATAACATGGAAGCTAGATAATCTAGAATTATTATATGTTTATAGCTGTATCTTATAGTGTAATTGTTGCATACAGCTATCCGTCTATATATATCCTTCTGCTGTGCTAGCTAGGAGGTTAACCTTTTAGCAAACGCAACAGTTATAAGCCTAGTTTGCAGCGTAGTGTAGATAGTTAGCGCTTAAAAATTTACACACTCTTATTCTACTAATATAATTGCATTATTACTAAGCATAGTGTGTTTAATTTCTATACTTAGTAAAAAGTATTTAGGCAGTGCGTCTATTATAGAGGCTACCTTACTAGATCTGTCTCTAAGTTCTGTTGCTTAGGCTGGAGGGTGTGTTAAGGTTGTTTCACTATGTTTCACCTCTCTTGTTCCACAGTTTGAGCTGGGGGGTGTGTCGCGTACAGCTATCCGTCTATATATATCCTTCTGCTGTACTAGCTGGGAGGTTGACCTTTTAGCAAACGCAACAGTAATTTTTAGTTAATTTAGTTATATAAATAAAGGTGCTAAGTAAGCATAATTTTATGATAGCTTTAAGTTAGCTAGTTAAGTTAGAGTATTGATTTACATCTATAATAGCAGGGGTAGTAAGGGCCGCAGCAATAGCTAATAGGCTATAGTAAAGGCTGTTGTAGCTTAGGGAAGGAAAATTTCTGTATCAAGAATGCGACAGCGACGTTCGCCATCGAAGATGGCATAACGTATTCCATAAACAATAGGTCGAAATTTACCAAGAACGCGTCACCTTTCACTTTAACCCGCAAAAATCAATAAACGATACCGAATCTATTGCTTGAGAAGGCCGGGCAGCTCTTGCTATCTCGTCTATTAATCAAGGCCAGATAGAAAACGTAAATTACGCTGTAGCTATCCCTATTGTAAGTGTGAACTCCATCTCAACGCTTACGAAGGGAACTAAGCTAATGCTGCTTGCATCGCATATACCTGCTGCGCCGCTTTCGGAAGGGTAACACGAGAGCCCGAAGTACCCTCCTCAATATCCAGCATCTCCGCCGCCCAGCTGCAAATAGCCGCAACTGCTTTATCAAGTTCTTGCTCAGTATTGTGTGCATGGAAGACTAGCCGGATGCGACTTGAACCCTTCGGCACGACCGGGTAGGAGATGTTATATGCATTCATACCTGACAAGGATAGGTGAAAGAACAGATACTGCTCGTGGCGTGGACGCGTCCGAATCGGCACGATGTGGCTGTGATAAGGTCGTTGCTCCCAATCCTCAGTGAGTGGGCACGAAAGCAAACCCGCATCGAGGGCGTCTTCCCACACAGGGTCGTTTGTCAGTTGGCGGAAGAAGTACGTCACATTGGTCTGGATACGTTCCTGGGCCTATTTACGAGGAAGTACTGTTAGCGCTGGACGCTGAATGCGGTGTATGTTTTCGAACGAACCTCTCTGGTCTCACCGCTGGCTAATAAGTTGTAACCAACACGCATAGATGCAACCATTAATGTCGAAGGAGCGCCAGAATAGGTGAGACAGCGTGACTGGTGCATGATAGCATGTCGAATCGTCTCATTACAGAGGATAATACCTATTGCTCGCGTTACACAACTATTCAAACAGTTAATCACGATACAGCATGACCGACCTCCGGTAGATCCCAACGCCTTGCTACAAACGTGGACGCGAATAGCAATCTCTTTTTCGAGTCCTAACATTTGAACTAAGCCAGATCCATTTGGACCCAAAACCCCGCTGCTGTGGGCCTCGTCCATGAAGAACTGGGCGTTACCGAGCGGGAACAGTTCTTTGGCAACATTGACATATTCCTGAAGCGGGCAAATGTCTCCGTCCATACTATATATCGACTCGACACATATCAAAATCGATTGACTTCCAGAGCGGAATGCGGGATGCCTGTCTTTCAGGGAAGTAAGAACATCCTGCAGAGAGCTGGGGTCGTTGTGGCGGAATGGGATCTTATGTGCTGCTGTGCTAATCTTCATGCCAACATGTGTGCTCGCATGCATATACTCGTCGTACACTATGGCGTCCCCCGGGAGCATTACAGCCTCAATGACCCCAGCGCAAGCGAAGAATCCCGAGTGCGCAATCCAGGCTGTCTCAGCGTTATGAAATTTCGCCACCTCCCGCTCCACTTCAAGAAGATAATCGTAGTTTCCATACTGAGCCCGCGACCCCGAGGCGCTGAGCAGGTATTCTCCTTGGCGCTCCAGTTCCTTATTGACGCCTTCGCGAATCCGACCAGACCGGCTAAGACTAAGGAAATCGCTGGATGTCAAGTCGATGACAGAATTGTCCCATCGGGGTTTGGCGGTCATGAGGCCGAATTCTATCCGGGATCTGTCCAAGGCTTGCTCGAGGTTTCGGTCGAAGGCGGGTGCATTTTTCAGCGCTGGGGCTTGCGGCTTGTGCTCGTTGAGCCAGTTCTTAAACATGCGCTCGGCGTACGTGGTCGATTGTGACATTGATCTAGATACCCAATGGTTAGTTAGATTTCTTTTAAACATCTGAAATATCATGAAGACGAACCTTTGAGTGAGGAACTTTTGATACTCTGATGTTTCAACTGGCTAACGAACCAAATTGAGGTTCTCCCTGCGTGCCCAATTTTTGTGGGGAAATAATTCCCAATCACAAGGATATTCGTTTTTCGGAATGCTACTACGCTCCTGCCATATTGTTGAATGCTTCATTACTAGCTCTCTACTATCAAGTCATGCGTTGAGCATGGTTTCGGTCGAAGGAGTTGACAGAACCCCCCACATTGTCTGACAAGTGGCAAACATATCGCGCTCCTCTGCGTGTACCTCTTCTTTTCTCGTGCTAACGTTATTAACAGGGATGATGATCCGCCCTGAATGTCTCTGAAGTGAAGTGATAGGATTTGGGTATCACTGTTGTTTACCGGATCCTATCGCTAATCCGGTCTAACTCTACTTTAGTTTGGATTCCTTCCATAATCTCCCTGGTCGCGGGAAACTCGGATTATCATCTCTAGGCCTTAAACGAAAGGAGATATATGAATAGTTCCGAAGAAGGCAAAGCGCGCCCACCTTGTGTAACCTGTACAGTCCACACGACTATCGATTCCCGTTTCCCCACCACACCGCCTGTCTGACACCGGCGTATTCCCGCGGCCCCCACTTTGGCCGCGCAAGCATTGATTGCCCAGAACCATTTCGCCATAAGAAACTTCTCTGGTCGTCTACCAGGGGTTCGGCCCGTGCTAGGATGTGCAGCCTACATTATACGCGCCCGCCACATTCCACAAGTGGGTGCGAAGATCGAGCAACGATGTAAGCATGCAGGTCGTTGTAATCCTCCATAAAGTATGTCAGATTAACCACTATCGCAGGATACCGAAGTCAGCGAAGATAGTATCGAGAACGATCGCCTACGAGATTTCGGCAACTATTTGGCTTCCCCGCTCGATCACATGGCATTAAGCAGCTTTGTGACCTCTGTCGCGTTCCTAATACAGATATCGTCCTTCCCTGAACCATAACACCTCCCACTAACTTTACATTAGCCTCTTAGTTAATGTTATGCCCCTTACTGCCCTTACTGTTATTGATATAAATAAATACTTTATAGCAAAGCACTTAGAGTAATATAATATACCCAACTTAATTAGTCTTTTATATATCTATATAACTATATAACTATTTTTATACTAGTTATAATCCTAGCATCTTTTTTATATAAGTAATCTTAATTTTCATATCTATTATTTCTTACTACTTGCGTTCTATAACTTACAGTGCTACTATGTACTTTACACGCTGCTAGTTAGTTATGTTATATATTATATACACCTTTAATATACTTTTAGACTATAATAATTACTATTAGTATTTAAAAGTACTAACGTACTCTACAAGCAATTTACTTACACACCTAAGTTACTTTTACGAAGACTACACTAAACTACTTTTTTACACTAATGTATTTTTAACAACACTACTTAAATATATTAAAAGAATAGTAGATATAGCTTATAGTTTAAACTTTTAAATAAAATCTAACTGTTAAATAGACTCTTTTAGCTAGCTGCTTATAGTATAAGCACTTAAGTAGCAAGAGTAAGAGTAGTATACAGTGTGCACAGCGTACGAAGTAGGTAGGGTGGGGGCAACATGTTTCTAGATCTATTGCTCTGTTTTTTTCTCTGTACAGAGGAAAAGGGGAATATCTAGATGTTCACGCACACAGGTTCGCGCACAAGCATTATGTGACATAGTTACGCGATCCTTCTTGTGCGCAATAACTAGTATCTAGACTGTAACGCTGCTGCTGCGTATAGACAGTAACACTTTTTAAGTAACATACTATAGCTATGTATAAAGTTTTTTAAAAAATAATAAAAAACTAACATACTAAATAACTTGTCGCGTACAGCTATCCGTCTATATATATATCCTTCTGCTGTGCTAGCTAGAAGGTTAACCTTTTAGCAAACGCAACATAACTTTAATAAGCTAATTTTATAAGTAACTTATAAAAACTAGATAATTAAAAAAAGGTAATTATTAAGAGTATACTTAAGCTAAATATATAAGAATTTTCTTTTTAGCTAGTAGCTATAGCTAATATAGCTAATTCTTTACACACTAAGTTTAATCTAGGCTATGTTAGTATAAACTAGCTTAGTATGTTTATTAAGTGTTATTTAAAGCTTAAGTAAAGTTTAAGTAGAAGTATAACAAAAAAAAGCTTTTTATAAAAATTTTAAAATAATTTAAAACTAGTTGTAACAGCGCGTACCGCGTCACATGCTCTGCAACTCAAGCTCCCTTGCTTGCGCAACAAGTAGCGCCTTTGTGCAACAAGTAGCGCCTTGGCTAAAAGCACACATGTATATTTAAACTCGCAGAGCAGCTCCTCTGCTCCTGAGTTTAATCTAGTTAGGTTACACTACCTCTTGCTTGTAGCTTAAGCATGCTAATTGTAACATTAGATTAAACTCTTTAGGTAACATAAAAGCTTAAGTACATATGTATATGTACACGCCTAAGTTTTTTTAACACATGCACACGCTTATAATTCTCGGTTAATAGACGCTAACATACCTTATTATATTAATAGTAGAGACAGAGCGCAACTTTTACGCACATAATCCTAGGTTCTGCTAGAGATAGGTTAGCTTAGTTACTGCGCTCTAGCTTCTACTGCACACGCATATAATTAGCTTTTTACTTTTTTTTACTTTTTTTTTTATATAATAAAAAACCTAATATAGCAGCTTTAGGCTAATATGTAGACCTTATAAGCTAATTTTTAGTAAGAAGTTTAAAGCTTATATGCTAAAAACTAAGCGCTATAAGCTATACTTATTATTATTACTACTGCTACCTTCTTCTGTTTAAAGCTAGTCCTCTCTACGCTAACTAGACTTAATAGTAAGCTATATAGATTTAAGACCTAGCTACTAACTATTAAGGCTAAGATAGTAGTAGATAGTAATGTAATTAAAAATAACATAGCATAATTCTACTTTATATAGAACAACCTAGAGCCTATAGTGTAGGCTACTGTACTACTGCTGCTATTAAATGCTAAAGTATAAAGTTAATAAGACTATAAAATAATTCTATAGTAGCTATAATAAGTATACACTAGTCTTAATAAGATCTATAAGGCTTAGGAGGCTCTAAATAAACTACAGCAAAATAAAAGTAAGCCTCTAGTAGCCTATATTGCCTAATTTAAGCAGATCTTGCATAAAGCTAAAAGCAGAGATTAGCCTACTGCTATTAAGATTATACTATTTTACTAGGGTCTTAATGCCTTAATTTAGCGCGCACTAGATAGCTAATTAACGCTACTAGACAACTATCTAGCATTCCTACACGCAGCGCAGCGTTTAGCCTTATAATTAAATACATATTCACATGCTCCGCACACCTAACCTAAACCTAACAAAATAAACCTTAGCAGCATTAACATTATTAGCATTAATATAATTAATGTCGCTGCAGCTACATCTAGTGCTAGCACTAGGGCTAGGTTAGTCTCTCCTCCCTAGCGCGCACAATAGAGGAAGGTAGGGAGATGCGTACAATGTGGCTTAGTAGCTTACTAGGTACAGGACTCCCCCTAGCTTCTAGCAGTTATTAGGCGCATTGCAACTATACAGCTAGCAAAACAATTAGTAGTTTAATAACTAAAGCTAGCACTAGGCTACTATTAGCCTAACACAGAGGATAATAACAATAATAACAGTAATAATAGTAATAACTTAGTAGATAAAGTTACACTATAAGTAGTAGCTAAAGAGGTTTGTTCTAATTCTTTTTTTTTTTAGCTTAATTTTAAGCTCTTTTTTGTACGTAAAAATTAAGCTTTAGAGGGGAGTAATATAACAGCGCGTACTGCGTCACATGCTCTGCAACTTAAGCTCCCTTGCTTGCGCAACAAGTAGCGTCTTTATGCAACAAGTAGCGCCTTGGCTAAGGGCACACATGTATATTTAAACTCGCAGAGCAGCTCCTCTGCTCCTTAGTTTAATCTAGTTAGGTTACACCACCTCTTGCTTGTAGCTTAAGCATGCCGATTGTGACACTAGTGTAGCTTTATAAAGAATATTAAAACTTAGTACAGCTTCTAGAATAATAACATATATAACTTTAATAAATAGGCTTTATAATAACGTATACTATAGGCAAGTTGCTTACACACCTAAGTTGCTTACTTTTACTAAGACTATACTAAACTAATCTTTTTATACAAATGCATTTCTAACAACACTACTTAGATATGCTAAAAGAATGTTAGATAAAGCTTACACCTAAAGCTTTTAAATAAAACATAGCACTTTTAAAAGAATATGCTGTAGCTATATGTACAGTCTTTTAAAAAATACTAAAGAACTAATATACTAGACAACCTTTATAAGCTAATTATAAAGCTAGCTTATAGAAACAAGATAATAATAAAAAGTAGGTAATTATTAAGCATATACTTAAGTTAAATGCATAAGGATTTTTTCTCTTAGATAGTAGCTCTATAGCTAATTCTTTACACGCTAAGTATAATCTAGGCAATGTTAGCATAAGCTAGCCTAGTATGTTTATAAAGTGTTATCTAGAGCTTAAAGTAAAGTTTAAGAATAAGTATAACTATAAAAAAGCCTTTTATGAAAATTCTAAAGTAATTTAAAGCTAGTTTAGCCTTATAAAGAATATTAAAGCTAAGTATAGTATTTAGAATAATAACATATACAACTTTAATAAAATACGCTTTATAATAGGCTAGATAACTATTAACTATACTTACACTTAAAACCTTACTTTACGCTTTAGATAACACTTTATAAATATACTAAGCTAGTTTATAATAACATAGTCTAGATTATACTTAGCGTGTAAAGAGTTAGCTATACTAGCTACAGCTGCTATCTAATTATGCTTTTTATTATTTTCACGCCTTTATAAGTTAACGATATAATTATCTTATAAAGGTTCTATAGTGTATTAGTTATTTATTATTTTTTAAATAACTTTATATATAGCTATAGAATGTTTCTTTACAAGAGTTATGTTTTATTTAAAAACTTAAAGTGTAAGCTATATTTAATATTCTTTTAGTATGTTTAAGTAGTGTTGTTAGGAATACATTAGTTTTAAAAAAAGTAGTTTAGTGTAGTTTTAGTAAAAGTAAGCAACTTAGATGTGTAAGTAACTTGCTTGTAGTTCGTGTTAACATAATTATAAAGCTAACTTGTAAAAATTAACTAATTTAAAAAATCTTTTATTATAAAGTATATATATAACTTAGATTTATACAGATTTTTTTACTTTAATTTATAAAAGATATAGCTAATAGACTATAAAGATATTAACATTATAGTCTAAGCTAGGATAAGCTATATTAGCATAACCTAGGCTATAAAGCTTAAAAAATGTTTTTCTTAAAAGTATAACTATAAAAAAGCCTGATGTAAGAATCTTATAGTTATATAAAAGTAGTTTAAACTTATATCTAACACTATTACTAAGTATAGAATCTATAAATATAATCTATAAAACTTTATTTTAAATAACTGTAATAACGTACTTTATAGACAACTTACTTACACACTTAAGTTGCTTACTTTTTCTAAAACTCTACTAAACTAATTTTCTTACATTAATAATTTCTAACAACACTACTTACATATGTTAAAAGAATATTAGATACAGCTTACACTTTAAGGTTTTAAATAAAATGTAAAACTTTTAAAGCAACATGCTATAGCTATATATAGTGTTTTTTTTAAAAAATAATAGATAACTAACACACTAGATAACTTTTAAGTTAATTTTATAGCTAACTTATAAAACCTAAGTAATAATAAAAAGTAAGTAATTATTAGGCATATACATAAGCTATATATATAAGGATTTTTCTTTTAGCTAGTAGCAATAGCTAATATAGCTAATTCTTTACACGCAAAGCATAATCTAGGCTATGTTAATATAAACTAGCTTAGTATGTTTATAAAGTGTTATTTAAGGCTTAAAGTAAAGTTTAAGCTTAAGTATAACTATAAAAAAGCTTTTTATAAAGATTTTAAGAAAATTTAAAGCTAGTTTAGCGTTATAAAGAATATTAAAGCTAAGCATAGCATTAGAATAATAATATATATAAGTTTAATAAAATAAGCTTTATAATAAGCTAGATATCTACTAACTATACTTATACTTAAAACTTTACTTTAAGTTTTAAATAACACTGTGTAAACACACTAGGCTAGTTAATGCTAATATAACCTAGATTATACTTAGCGTGTAATAAATTAGCTATATTAGCTATATCTGCTAGCTAAGAGGAAAATCCTTATATATATAGCTTAAGTATATGCTTAATAATTACTTACTTCTTATTATTACTTAGCTTTTATAAGTTAGCTATAAAATTAGCTTATAAAAGTTATCTAGTATGTTAGTTATTTATTATTTTTTAAAAAACTTAATATGTAGCTACAGCATGTTACTTTAAAAGTGTTATATTTTGTTTAAAAGCCTAAAGTATAAGCTATATCTAATGTTCTTTTAGCGCGTCTAAGTAGTGTTATTAGGAATGTATTAGTGTAAAAAGAGTAGTTTAGTAAGGTCTTAGTAAAGGTAAGTAGCTTACGTGTGTAAGCAACTTGCCTGTGACGTACGTTATCTACTTCTAGCTTTAATTAAAGGTATAGAAAACATAAACTAAACCTATTTTAGCTAAAATAAACTATATACTAGTAAATAAACTTATAAAAGCTTTTACTCTACTAAAACACTTTAAGTTTATCTAATAGATTAATTTAAAATTATTAACTATACTACTTAATAAGAAAAATTAGTAAGAAAAGCATTGCACTATAGATAGTATATAGATACTGCATTCTATAAGCTATTTAAGAAATTGTATTGCAAATTTAATATAGAAATCTTTCTCCTTTAAGCTATAACAGCTTCTACTCTCTTTGCTACAGCCTCTACTGCCTTTACTCTAGCCTCTTAGCTATTGCCATAGCCCTTACTGCTTCGGCTGTTATAGATGTAAATAAATACTCTGCGGCAGAGCACTTGGACCAACACAATGCACTTTACTCCATCAGCTTCTCACATAGGTGCATGACTATTAACCTCTTTCTGCAACAACCTCGGCGACCCCGACGCTGTCAGCACACCGCTGGGGTTAGTTGATCCCTGCTGCATTTCGCCGGCTGACGTGGACTGCCTGGGGGTTACACGTGAACTCGCAATGGAGGTCAGCGTCGATCAACGACGCACTTCCGGCGTCTCTTTAGCCGCCAACGCAAACAACAACATGGTGTCTGAGTGGTTGGAATTGCCGCCAGCATCAATACTGAGTATAGGTTAGCGTGAAATGGTCTTGATATACCTGAATGCTCTCGACCTTTTGGTAGTGGATAGTGGATGCCTGGTTTCTACTATCTCTTCAACTAGCCTTTTGTATACACATCTTCAACACGTATCTTGCCTGTTCTAAGGAATTTTCCAGTCGAAAATAATGAACGGTACCAACGGCGCTGGCCAGAATGGGATCCATACTGTCAACGGAACGTCGAGGAAGGAAGCGTCTCCGTGTGCCATATTTGGTCACGACATCGCTCTCCCAGCACCTACAAAGGAGACGAATGGCTACGGTATTGCTCCTCCAACAACTAGAGGGGGGATAAATGGCAACCATGTCGCGTCCGAACCATCCACAAAAGAGACTAATAGCAAGGTCTTCACGCCCATGGCTATTTGTGGGATGGCTTGCCGTCTTCCCGGGAATATCTCTTCACCCTACGATCTGTGGAAGTTTCTTGCCGAAGGCGGTGACGCTCGCAGCGAGGTACCATTGAACAGGTGGAATGCCTCGGCGTACTATTCAGCTACGAAGAAGCCTGGTTCCTCGAGAACCAAACACGGCTACTTTCTTGATGAAAGAATCGATCTAGGTGCTCTAGATACCTCGGCATTCCCAATGGGACGCACTGAGCTTGAACGCTTGGACCCGCAACAACGGCTATTGCTCGAAGTCGCACACGAGTGCCTTGAAGATTCCGGCGAAACGGGTTGGCAGGGAAGCGATATCGGTGTCTACGTTGGGTGTTTTGGACAAGATTGGTACGACGTGCTCAACCGCGAGGGTCTGAAGTCCAACGCATATCAAATTCTGGGCTCGCACGACTTCATGGTCTCCGAACGCATTTCCCACGAATTGGACTTGCGTGGTCCTAGGTAAGCATCACCTACATACAAAATTTGTGTTTCTACATAATAACGCTTTTTGATAGTTTGACGATACGTACCGCCTGCTCTTCTTCGATGATTGGCCTAAATGAAGCCTGCATGGCCATCGCAAAAGGCGACTGTAAAGCGGCCATCGTCGGTGGCACCAGTCTTTTCTTATCTCCGAGTACCGTGACGAGTCTGTCGGATCACGGAGTCTTCAGCCCAGACGGATCCTCCAACACATTCTCTGCCAAGGCCAATGGTTTCGCAAGAGGCGAAGCCATTGTTGCCATCTACATCAAGAGCTTGGACGAAGCACTCCGCGATGGCAATTCCATCCGAGCTGTCATATCAGGAATTGCAACGAATTTTGACGGCAAGACTGCAAACATGTCGATGCCAAGCGCACTAGCTCAAGAAGCAGCGATTAGGCGAGCGTACCAGGTTGCCGGCATTCAAGATTCCGAAGTCTGGAAGACTGGGCTGTTCGAGTGCCATGGTACCGGTACCGCGGCCGGCGATCCAATTGAGACTCGCGCCATTGCCAATGTCTTCGGAGCCCATGGCCTATATCTCTCATCAATCAAGCCGAACCTAGGTCATTCAGAAGGAGCCGCAGGCGTTAGTGCGATCTTGAAAGCAGTTCTCGCACTAGAGCATCGCACGATTCCGCCAAGTATCAAAGCGTGGCCAGTCAATCCCAAGATCCCTTTCGAGAGCGGCAAACTCGCGCTGGCAAAAGAATGCATTCCGTGGCCGGCCGGGCGTTACGAGCGCGTTAGCGTCAATTCTTTCGGAATCGGAGGTGCCAACGCCCACGCCATCATAGACTCCGCCAGCAGCTATGGCATTGTTCCTGTGCCGGCCCACAATGGGGCACATGACGTACCATCGGACCTCCCGCACTTGTTCGTATATTCTGCGTACTCGAGCAAACCATTAGAACGCATGGCACGCAACATCGAAAGATATCTCGATGCAACCTCGGAGTCGTTTGTCGACATTGCATACACCCTCGCTCGTCGGAGGCAACATTTACCACACCGGTCCTTCGTCGTTTCCGCCAAAGACAAGCCCGGCGAAGCCCCTCCGGCCCTAACTCAGGAGGTCGTCATCGCGCATACTGTTGTGATGGTTTTCACAGGCCAAGGTGCTCAATGGCCCCAGATGGGCAGAGACCTCATCCGCTCAAATCGTATCTTTGCGAAGGTTGTTGAGGACATAGACGTCGAGCTCCAGCGTCTCGGCGCCACATGGACGGTCTATGATGAGCTCCGCAAAACTTCTAGAACGACTCGGGTCAACGAGGCCGAGTTCTCACAGCCGTTGTGCACGGCAATACAGATAGCGCTTGTTGAAGCGCTTGCTTCTGTCGGTATTAAGCCAGCTGCTGTCGTGGGTCACTCTAGCGGCGAGGTTGCAGCTGCCTACGCTGCTGGCGCTCTTACGTTAAGGGAAGCTATTGCTGTTTCATATCACAGAGGAATTATTTCCAAGAAACAGACCAAAAAGGGAGCGATGGCTGCTGTAAGCTTAAGCTGGACCGAAGCACACAATTATCTGCTTCCCGGGGTTGTAGTAGCATGCGAAAACTCCCACAGCGGCGTGACTCTTTCTGGTGACGTGGATCAGCTCGAGCTTGTTGTATCCAACATCAAGAAAGCACGTCCAGGGGTACCTACCACCACTTTGAAAGTGGAACGGGCATATCATTCACATCATATGGTGGAAGTAGGCGAACCATATTGCGAGGCTATGGTCGCCTCAGGGGTTGTGGGCTCCCAGCATTCCGTGCCTTTCTTCTCCAGTGTCACCGGACAATGTCTGTCTAGCGACGTCAAGCAACCGCAGCTTGGGCCGCGATATTGGCAGAAGAACTTGGAATCTCCTGTACGCTTTAAATCAGCTGTTGTCGAAATTCTGAAGGAAAGCGATATTTCAAATCCTGTCTTCCTGGAAGTTGGACCGCATGCAGCGCTCGCGGATCCAATCAGACAGATCCTTGCCAATGAGTCGCAGAAGGTGCCTCATGTACCAACTCTCACGAGGCGAAAGGGCGGTACTGAAAGCTTTCTAACATCTATTGGCAAGCTTTGGACCCTGCATGTTAATGTTGACTTCGCAGCTCTGATGCCGCATGGCCTGACATTATCTGGCCTTCCTTGCTATCCTTGGGACCATCAGAAAAGCCACTGGTATGAGCCAAGAGTTTCGCGGGAATGGAGACTGGGTGGCCATCCTTATCATGATCTTTTGGGAAGAAAGCTCCCTGAAAGTACGGATCTGGAGCCCCTTTGGAGAAACCTCGTCTATCTGCAGAATGTACCCTGGATCTCGGACCATCGCATTGACAGCGACATTGTCTTCCCGTTTGCAGCGTTTGTGGCCATGGCTGCTGAGGCAGTCCGGCAGATCAGCGAATCTCAAGACACTGTCGAGATGCGCAATGTGACTGTCAGCAATGCACTTCCGATTAGTGAAGAGTTGCCAACCGAAATCGTAACCAGTTTTCGTCGCAGCCGTCTGACAGATTCGCTAGATAGCGACTGGTGGGACTTCACCATAACATCCCACAATGGCCATATCTGGACAAGACATTGCACTGGCCAAGTGCGCAGTGGCTCCGATACGCTGTCGAATGAAGTTTCTTCAACTCCGGTCCCGGATACGTTTACGCTTCCTAGGAAGGTGGATGGCCGGAGTTGGTACGAGGCAGTCCAACGAAAGCGGCTTCGCTACGGTCCTCACTTCATGAGTCTGGAAGACACTACCTCATCGGCAGTAGCACCGAGCAGGGCTTCGGCTAGGTTACGCAACAATTGGCACGGCGATGAAGCCAACTATCATCTGCACCCTGTCATCGTCGACGCGTTCTTCCAGCTCTTGAGCGTCGCATCGCACAATGGTCTTGTGCATACGTATCGTCGGCAAGTTCCAACTAGTATCGAGCACCTCACTATTTCGCGGTGCCAATCGGAAGACCTCCAGGTGTACTTGGAAGGGAATCTGGACCATGAGGGCGGAGCTTCTGGACAAGGGCTATGTATAGCAGGGTCTAAAGTTGTATCACGATTCTCAGGGGTTCGAATGACTCTGTTTGAAGGCGCCGATCCAACAGCGAAGAATGACTTCCCACTGACAGCTCGGGCTCAATGGGTGCCACACGCCGACTTTTGGAACATTGAAACACAGTTCAAGCCCGTGAGTGCCAATTCCAGTGAAATGATGGTTCTGGAAAATCTTGCTCGTTCGGCAATCCTGTTTTCGCAGCAAGCGCTATCCCTCAGTGTCAAATCAGACTTACCTCATCTACAAAAATATGGAGCCTGGCTAAGCGAACAACCTACTACCTCTCCGGAAAATGGGAAAGATTTGGCAAATTCGATCCAATTGATTGCTCAGGGCCTCGAATCTACCCCGCTCTCATATACAGCCAAAGCGATTGCGACCATCTGCTCCAACATTGACTCGATCCTCTCCGGTGAGCGAGACATCTATGGCATCCTCACCACCGACGATGTTCTTGAAAAGCTACTCGAGTATATGTCGGAGTACGACCGGTCCGAGTTTTTCCACAACCTTGCGCATTTCAAGCCTAACCTACGAATTCTTGAGCTTGGAGCTGGCTCCGGCGCGGCAACAGCCAAGATCCTACCGTACCTACGGCATGAGAAGGGTCAAACCCTCTTTTCGAGGTACGTGGTCACGGATGCCTCGATGGGCCTTGTCAATGCAGCGAAGGAGCGTTTCAAGAGCGTCACAAATCTGGAATTTGCTTGTCTCAATATTGAAAAAGACTTAGCGGACCAAGATTTTGAGGACGAGGAATTCGATCTCATCATCTCAGCTAGTTTCTTGCATACTGCAACCAACGTCGCGAAGAGCCTGTCCAACGTTCGGAAGCTCCTGAGCCCAAAAGGAAGACTGCTCATGCAAGAGTTAGCCACAGGTCAAACTTGGGCTAAATTCATCCTGGGCACATTGCCTTCCTGGTGGTCCGGCGACGGCGACGGCGGTCAAGATGGACCATTCATGAGTCGGGAAATGTGGATCCAAAAGCTCAACTCAGTTGGATTCACACGCGCTGATTTTGTGGAAAATCTTGGTCAAAGTACAGTTATTGTTGCTCATCCAGAGCGAGGAGAAGTCCAATCCCGAAAGATTACCTTGCTTTACGAACAAGAATCCATCGAAACCGTGAACGTTTCCCGTGAGCTTGAGGAGCGCGGATATGCAATTGACCGTTGCACCATGAGCGATAGCCCAATTGCGGGACAGGACATTATCGCGCTCATGGATCTCGACACGCCATATCTGTGGGATCTCACTACTACAAATCTGGAAGCCTTTCAGAACTTTGTCAAAGACCTACAGGGATCTGGCGTTCTTTGGGTCACACGACCGTGCCAGGCAGGCGTTAAGGACCCAAGATTTGCGCCTATCATCGGACTTTCTCGTACGATGAGATCGGAACTCGCGGCCAGCTTCGCTACGTGTGAGACAGAAGAGTTGACCTCGACAGCAAATATCAACGCTCTGGTCAATGTAGTCTCGAATTTTCGTGATCGGAGACATGACGGCGTGCTGGGTCCGGAATTTGAGTATGCGATCTCAGACGGGACCGTTCTAGTCAACAGATTCTTCCCATTCGACCTCCCGGCTGAGATTCAAGATATCGAGTCAACCCAGCTTCAGGAAGCAGAACTTACCACCAGCAAGGCAGGCCAACTCGGCACTTTGCATTGGTCTGCTCGGGAGCCTGTAGCCCCACAGAATGATGAGGTGGAAGTCGAAGTGCACGTGACAGGACTCAACTTTAGGGTGAGTATCCTGGATATCATCGGCCATATTTTCAGCTAACCCCATTGCAGGATATCCTAGTTGCCATGGGAATCTTGACGCTTGCTGAGACACATTTCGGCTACGAAGCTGCGGGCGTAGTCCGAAAACTTGGTCCGAATGCGACCAAGTTCTCCGTGGGTGATCGTGTTGTGCTCATGGGGCGCAACACTTTTGCGACTACGGTCACACAGTCTGAGCTACTTTGCGAAAAGCTCCCAGACTCTGTTAGTCTCCTTGACGGCGCTGGCTCTCCTCTTTGCTTCACAACGGCAATCTATGGCCTTGTGGACATGGGGCGGCTTGAAGAGGGACAAGTGAGTGACTACCACCTTCACAATTTCCATTCATACAGACGAGATGCCTACTAATTCAACTATTTGACAGTCTGTGCTTATTCATAGCGCCGCTGGTGGCGTTGGTATAGCTGCCATTCAAGTCGCAAAGATGCTCAAGGCGACCATCTATGCAACTGTGGGTAGTGTCGAGAAACGAAAATACTTGACCAAATTCTTCGGAATTCCAAAGGAAAATATCTTCGATTCGCGTAGCACAACCTTTGTAGCTGACCTAATGCGGCAAACTGGCGGTAGAGGGGTTGATGCGGCTCTCAACTCGCTTTCTGGTGAGCTGCTACACCAAACCTGGAAGTGCGTCGCCAAATGGGGTACGATGGTTGAGATCGGCAAGCGAGATCTGCTGGGATCTGCCAAGTTGGACATGAAACAATTTGCGGACAGCCGTAATTATTGTTGCATCGATATGGATCAAATGACGCAAGAGAGACCCAAGGTCATTGACAGGTGAGTCTTTTTGCCTACGCTTCAACACGTTGCATAGTTAATAACTGTCACTAGATTGCTGCGAAGGTTAATGGAACACTTCCGCCAGGGCACTTTGCAACCCATTCCGCTGGCGCACGTGTCACCCGCGTCTGAGATACCAGAGACGTTCAAACTTATGCAGCAGAGTAAGCATATTGGGAAGATGGTAGTGGAGCTACGGAACAGCCAAGGAGAGCTTCTGGTGAGTGACGTACAAGCACTACAGAAGCGGCCGGTTGCACTCGACAGTTCTGCAGCATATATCCTGGTTGGAGGATTAGGTGGCCTCGGGCAATCAATTTCACGCTACATGGTTCAGCAAGGAGCCAAGAACCTCATATTCCTGTCCCGAAGCGCCGATAGGAATGATCCGCGGTACCGAGACTTCATCCACGAGCTTGAGGAAATGGGAAGTACCGTCCAGTGTGTCAAGGGAAATGCGGCGCGGCTAGCGGACGTCGAGCGGGCGATAGATGGGGCGCTAGCTCCCGTTAAGGGGATCCTCAACATGACAATAGCGCTGGCTGACGAAGCCTTCCTGCGGATGTCGATTGAGGAGTGGAACACGTCAGTCGAGCCTAAGATCAAGGGCACCTGGAACATCCTGGAAGCCACCAAGTCACGGGGTCTTGAAATTGACTTTCTGGTCCTCATTAGCTCCTTATCTGGCATTGTTGGCCAGACAGGCCAGGCCAACTACTCTAGCGCGAATACGTTCCTCGATGCATTCTCGCAGTACAGCACAAGCCAAGGGCTGCCGTGCACTGCCATTACTTCGGGAGTCATGGAAGGCATTGGCGTTATGAGTGGCAGCATTGATCTCCTCAAGAAGCTGCAAGGCTCAGGTTGGCGCTTAAACAATGAAGCAGAGCTCATTGAAATCGTGGATTCAGCGATACAACTCACGGTCGCTAAGCGGACCATCGAAAAGAAGCGGACACCCGCAACTACTTCCATCCAAGAGGTCGACAAAACCAGGTTCATCTTTGGGCTTTGTCCTACCGTGCCACTCAGCAGTCCTGACAGCTATACAAACTTACGAGCTGATGTTCGCATGGCAGTCTATCACAACTCCAAACGCCAGAGTGCTAAATCGGCTGCATCAGAGGATGCGCTACGCACGCTGCTGACTATAGCAAAGAAAGATCCATCCGTCCTGGAGTCCAGTGAGAGCGTTACAACTCTCGCCTTGGATATTGGGAAGAAGCTTTGCAGCTTGCTGCTACTTCCGGACGATAACTTGAGCCCTTCGATGAAAACGGGCGAGATGGGACTAGATTCCATGGTAGCTGTGGAGATGTGCGCTTGGTGGAAGCTCACTCTAGGCCTCGAGATGAGTATGTTGGAGATGGTGAGCATGGGTACGTTGGAGGCTTTGGGACACCGGGCGGCGGATGACCTTATTCGTCTCTACACTTGATCATCTATGAGGGCTTCTCAAACATACGGTTAAAATACAATCAAGGATATTATAAGCCTAAAGTTCGAATATTATCGGAGAGAAAATTTCGAAATTACTGTAACAATTTGCAATCTAGAAGGAGTAGAAATGTAGTGAAACCTATCTTTCGGGCCTTTGATTTATGTCCCTACGCATTTGGGTATGCATGGAAGCTAAATAGTCTGGCTACATGTTCATTTTATTCTAATCTAAGACGCCATCGCCCAGACCAAGTTCTGGATCCTTGACTCGGGACGAGCCCCCTCGTTCCAGCCGACGTAGCCAAAGCCAACGGAGCGCAGTACCTTCTCCCAATGTTTTGGGCTCTGCAAGGCGTGTTGTCGCCCGTCCTCGAACGCCCACCATCCAGAAATCAATCCAAACGCAACATCAGCCCAGAGCATCTGCGTTGTCAGCTCATGCATCATGATGAATCCATCCGGTCGTAACATCTTGTGGACATTTTTCAATGAGACAGACAGATCGCGGGTCGCATGGAAAACGTTGGACCCAATGACGATGTGCTGAGAGTTGCGCAGCGCCTCCTCCGGTTCCTTCTCGATGTCCACAACTTTGTATTCCATGAATTGGTACTCTTCAAGCTTTTTTTGCGCCGCGGAGAGGAAGACAGAGCCGATATCGCTCATGGTGTATATCACTGGTATGCCAAGACGAGCCAGCACTGGGACAATCTTAAAAGTTGTACCACCAGTACCTGCGCCGACTTCCAGAATTCGCAGAGGTCCGGCGTTCTTTGGCCATTTGCTGCCAATATTTTCGAAGAAAGCTGCCCATTGCTGGAGGATTGTGCTGAACAGCGGGGATTTAGCGTAGAAATTTCCCATAAGCGTGCGACCTTCGTCGGAGCCGAACAGTAACTGCAATGGATCTTCTTTGCCAGATATACAATTAGCGAAGGATCCGCCAGTTCTCTGCACAAGTCCGAGTTCCCACTCTTGCTCAGGCATATCGTCGAAGAGGTCTTCCAGCATGTCCTCAATCTCGCTGCTAGGACATGCCACCGATGTGCGAACGATTTCCTCGCCTTTGGTCTCGATCAAGCCAGCTTTATTTTCCAAAGCCTTGTACATGTAGTTGATGAGCTTTTCGTGCCTTGGGATATTTTTGATAGGTGCGAGCTTTGTTCCAGGTGTTGCCGACCGAAGAGGGCATCCAAGCTCTTCGAAGGCATTGCAGAAGACTGCGATCGCCAACTCGTCCGTTCGTGGGATAAACTCCGAGCAGTAGGCGTCGATCTTGTTCTTCACGATGTGGTCGTCTATGGACCCACGCGTGGCGCGAAAGGCGTCCAAAACAGTAGCAGAGTTGAGTTCGCCAGCCTCTTTCGAAGGCATCTTGAGGTTGATATTCGGAACCTTGGTGTTACGCGTAGTGGTATTGTTGTTGCGTTTGCTGTTGTAATGAGAACAATTTAGCGAATTGTGTAATCTTCTGTGACTCTTCCTTCGTCTCGTCGACTATTCCACAGGAAATCATGCTCTCGGGACAGAGGCAGGAGGATCTTACCCTAGTCGTTCTATCACAATTGAGGAAGGTTTTGATGTTTCGCACAAGTATGACGGGAGGAGAGAGGAGAGAATTGCCTGCTGGACCCTCACCGGACGACTGTCCCAAAACAGCATAGAAGCAGTTGAATCTTCGCAATTTTGTTTCCACGGAGATTGTATCAATCGAAAGCCGATGCGTACACGTCAATGCTGTTGGGATGAATGGAGATGACTAACGCCTGTTACTCCTAGACCATATTGCGCTGCATGTCTTCATGGTATCTCTGGTTGGTCTGATGTAAGACTTCTTTATGATGGTAGTGGCCTAACCGATGCAATACTGGAACGTGGTGCGCTATTCGTGGGGGTTTCAGTGAGATGCGCCCGCAACATGGGGACAAGTGAACATTTTGACGACAGCAGAGCTTGTGGGAATGTTATGGCGGTAGTAGACTTTTACTAACTTGCAAAAATTAACTAATCTAGAGAAATTAGCTATTATAAAGCATAATTTATTTATTACTAAGTAGTCTACACAAGTAAATAGTCTACTTTAACAACATTTTTGTACTTGACTTATATTTTACTTTAACTACACCATCTACATTAATGAATTAAATAATAAAAATATTCTTATCTATAATATCTACTTTATAAATTGTATAAGTCTTAACTTAGTAACTTTACTAGTAGTAGTAGAGTACTTAGATATCTACTTAAATATAAAGCTTTACTATCTTAATCTAATATATATTTCAGTTAATTTAATAATAACTCTAGTAACTACTTATACTAACATGCTTATTATATAATATATAATAATAAAGTAATATAAATAGCCTTAGTAGGCATTTTTACGTCTATAAAATAATAATGTAGCTTCAGTAGAGGTGTTTGCAAGAGGCTGAGGCAATTAGGTGTAATGCAGGGTGGAAAATTTCCCACTAAGTCGAGTTTTGCCCCTTCACCTGTTAACAGTCCGCCGTATAATGTGAAATTATTGGCGTGATGAAAGGTTGCCGCGCAATCGCTAAGGCGCTAAAAACTACAGGATGACTGCAGCCTGTCAGCCCCATCTAGGTACGGTGCATTGGGCTATGAACGGAAGAAGCTCCGTTGCGGGAGTGGAGTTCCATGGGCCGCGCCGTTCCGCTAGTTTCCCTTTCGAGATGACTGCAGCTAATCAGCCCTAAGAACGGGCGATACAGGCGTTATTGGGGGCGAAAACCGGTCCCAGATATCCCGGAGCAGGGGGTGGGACAACGAGAACGAGAACGAGAACGGATAAAGCGATGAAACTCAATAAAAGTAATCACCAACGGGATGTGCGGCAAACAGTATGACTGCAGTCTATACCAGCGCGAATCACGGAACGCTCGGGGATTATAAGTGGGTTTGTAGGGCGTTAGGATTGAGAAGATGGAGTAAGTCGGAGTTACATAATAGTTCGGACGCAAAGTGCTCTTAAACAAAACCTGGATAAATTTCGGTATGCATGCGAAATCAATACCCGCGAATACATTTACGAGCCAAAGACAGAGTCACTCGTGAATTAGTCAGTGCGTACTCAATAAAAAAAATCCCAATAGACCTGGTTGAACTTCGGTATCGTGGCAACCACACATGAAAGCTTGGATTTGGTCGCCCAAGGAAGCCCATAAGTGTAATAGTCGGTAAGATCGACAGTAGTGTTTTGTAAACTAATACTTTCAGAAATTTCAGTCAAGGTATTTCCCTTGGCCGTAAAATTTTCCATTCTCTTAAAAACACATAGAACTGTGTATATATTTTCCCAGATGCAACCCGTGGAGTATTTCCTCAACTTTGTACCTTCCCTACCCTTCCGAAGCTGGAAATATTTGCCACATGACTTCGTCAAGCATTAATGAGTTGTTTCGCGTCGATGGATTGGTTGCCTTGATAACAGGCGGTGGCACCGGTGAGGCTCGAGCCGACAATATCATATCGCAGGCACCCACATGGCCACTAATACGACTAGGCATTGGACTTATGATGACGAAAGCCCTTGCTCTTAACGGAGCTAGGAAGGTGTACATCAGTGGTAGGCGAAGAGAGGTTCTAGACCAAGCTGCAAAGCAATCCCCACATGGCAACATCATCCCTCTTGTCGCCGATGTAAGCTCGAAGGAAAATATCGAAGCACTTGCAGACCACATACGAAAGGATCTCGGTCATCTTAATCTGCTCGTTGCCAATGCTGGCATATGGGGCCCTGGGCCAGGGCAGCCTCTTGGTACAAGCCTGCAGGAAGTTCAAGCAGAAGCCATGAAGACAACTATGGACGAATGGGACCAGTGCTTTCGAACAAATGTTCACGGTTGCTATTACTCGATCATGGCTGTTCTTGATCTCCTTGATGAAGGAAATAAAAGGAAGAACTATTGCAATGGCGAGGTGAAGAGCCAAGTCATTGTCACTGGCAGTATAGGCGGTTATTCCCGAATTGTTGGTGGACGCAACGCCTATCGCGCTAGCAAGGCTGCAGTAACGCACCTCGCTAAGTGTCTGGCCACAGGCTTCCAAGAATTCGGCATCAGAGTGAATACACTAGCCCCAGGCCTTTTCCCATCTGAGCTAGCAGCACCGCTAATTGAGAAGTATAACGGGTTCGCCGATGAGGATGGTAAGATAGACAGAAAGCGCTTACCGGAGGAGCGAAGTGGGACGGAGGAAGACATCACCGGAACGATGTTGTATCTCGTCTCAAGAGCTGGGGCCTACAATAATGGCAATGTGTGCGTTCTAGATGGAGGCATGGTTAGCGTTATGCCGGCCTCTTACTAGTTCTTCGTTCGTATATGTATCATAGACACACTACCTTTATGATTCATCAGCTGCATGATGACGGAAAATGCATATGCGTAGTCAACTCATTTACATTTTTAGGTTCGAGGTAGTATTGACTAGCTCCATCACTAGTCGGCAGACGAAACCCCCACAGTAGCACCGGTCAGGGCGTGCGGGGTGCTGCCGATTCTTCCGCACGGTGGTACTACGGCGATCCTACAGTCAACCTCGTTGTACACCACTTATTGAGTCACATAGTCAGCTATCGATCGGTGGGGCTCCTTATCGCTGTATCCCTGCTTCTTTAAGCATATTCCTACGTAGTGTCTAATCGGAGCAGCCAGAGCTGCATACCTGAATAGTGTATTCTTTCAGGATATCGAGGTATAGCCCGGGGAGCACTCGCTGTCTGCCCGGGGAACGTTTCAAAGCTCTTCGTTTCCCTCTTCCCATTCCCAAACTCTCATCTATCATACACCGATTGAATTAGTCATTGAAAATGGATCTGACTGGAATATCTGCGTTTCCGGACCTGGAGTTGCTTCCCAATTTTCTCGACAGAGTCGCAACAGAGGATCCAACTAGAGTTTGGATATCCTGCCCAAATGACGTCAATGACTTGTCTAAAGGCTTTCGAGACTATACGACTCGCGAATTAGCAAATTGGGTGAATCATGCATCATGGTATGCCCTTTCTGTCTATGCCGAAGCCAATCTTTCGCTGATAGTCCAGGTTCCTCGACAAGCACCTTGGCAAGGTTCGAGAAGGCAAGCTACCGACAGTCGCGTATATTGGGCCATCCGACATCCGATACTTACTTGTGCCGATTGCTTTGGCCAAGTGTGGTTACGAGGTCTAGTTTTCCTATACCGAATCCGACGCTGCTGCAATACAGCTAAATCTGCCATAGTCAATCCCACTTTCTGATCTTGTCTCGGCTGAAGTGCGCGTATTTCTCTGCGAGGAAGCAGGATGTAACATCCTAGTTTGTGCTCAGGGGTTTGGAGATAACGAGGTCGCGTCTCGTGAGACGATGAAGCGTGTTATCTTCCCTGAGCTGGATGAATTGTTTACGCCGGCGAATGCGCCACTCTATCCATTTGAAAAGACTCTGGAAGAGGTTCTGAACGATCCCTTCTTCATCTTGCACACATCTGGCTCGTCCAGCCCGAAAGGCTTCCCAACGGTAAGATTCCCTAATCTTAGAATGAGAGTAGATCCTAATGCCGAATATAGATGATACGTTACCCTCACGGCTCATGCTCGCTCAATGGACTCCTTAAGCACATCCCTGACTATGACGGCCTCCCTAGTCTGTACAATGTTATGAGCAAATCATCTAGAACTTATACTGGATTCCGTATCACTCATGCTGGGGGATTCTTTTTCGCCTTTCGCCAGATTTACATGGGCGTGACCGTTGTAGTCGGGGGTGATGATCAAGGTTCGATGAGGGCTATTGAAGGAGTGATCGACTATGGACGGATTGACAGTGCGGCTTTGGTGCCCAACAGTCTGAAGGAGATCAGCGAATCTCCGAGAATGCTGGAGAAGCTATCAAAGTTGAAGTGGGTTATATCTTCTGGAGGTAAGTTGATATCTAAACTCTCAGGGATGAATCATACTATTACCGCTTGCTAACCGTTAATAGCCATGTTGCCCAAACAAGTCGGCGATACAATCTGTAAGAAGGTTCATCTGATCAGCGTATATGGTTCGACCGAAGCCATTAGTACCACGTACTGGATACTTCCCACAGAAGATTGGGAGTATATCTACAACAATCCAGGATTTGATAACTTCCAATTCGAAGAGAGCGGAGAGAACCTTTTTGAAGCCGTATACTATAAGCATTCTGATCCGGCTCTCCGCCTTCATCAGGGTGTTTTCTGGTGCCTCCCTGATCTCGACAGATGGTCAATGAAAGACCTCTTTGCCCCACACCCTACCAGGAAGAATGCTTGGAAGTATGTCAGTCGCGCTGACGAGCTTGTCATCATGGAAAACGGCTACAAGCTCCTCCCAACGCCCTTTGAAGAAGAAGTCCTTGGGAAAGACCCCCGCATCAAGAGCGCCAGTATCTACGGAACGGCTAAGGAGCATCTCGCTGTTATCATCGAGCTTGTCGACCCTCCACCACCTTCTTACTTTAAGAATAAGGCCAAAGAAATGATAAGTGGGACAACGGTAGATGCTAGTGATCCCATTGTCGATGAAATTTGGCCTGTAGTCCAAACTGTTAACGACGAGTTAACGAAGTTCTCTACGAAGACCAGTCAGGTCCCCAAGCATGCTGTCATCATTGCAAACCCGGAACGGCCACTTCCGAGGACAGGAAAGGGGGGGGTACAAAAAGGGCTGACTGAGAAACTGTATCGGGGGGAATTGAATTGGGCATTTAGGGCTTGAGCGCAGGGGTTGCACATACCATAGGACATTTGAATAGAAGTGCAAGAATATGGTAGACCTAGATTCTATCTCAGCCTCATCGCTCATTTATTATGTGCACCGAAGGAATACATTTATACTGTCTCGGCGCCTGCTGGCTCGCTACTTCAGTTGATACTACCCTATCTCATAACCGAACAATGCGGAATTACATATAACAGTACAGACGGGCATCATAGATAATTGCCATGTCATTACTTGACCCACGAAAGACGAGGACCGATTGGAAGTTTGAAAGACATGCACTTCTTGCGAGGTCTTTCGGATAATCTCCGGAAATTGTTAGTTGGGGTGTTAATTTTCGTTCAGTTCCTTCTCCCACTGCAGCATCTGCTGAAACCTGCTCCTCTCTGTATTGTTCAGGTGTTTCAGCCTGCTCAGTAGTATTCCCGCTACTGAGACTCGCCGGTACTTCTCCCGTTGGTGGCCACATCAAGTATTCTTCTATTGACTGCATGCACATGTTCTAATAATCGACATCTGCATCCTCCTCCAATGCAAGCGTGTCTGTGGGTGTTACGCTGTTTTCAGCAGCATTTTGTTCTTTATTTGGGGTGCCATCATCTCCGCTGCTTGGGGAATGGTGCACAACATCCTCTGCGACTATATTGTACCCAGTAAAGGCGCATTCCTGATACGGAAATCTTCCTTCCCTGACCCACAACGGCTCCTGCGGCACTTACTATAGCCCCTTAGCTATTTGTATAGCCTCTGCTGCCGCTAATGTTAAAGATGTAAACACATACTCTGCATCAGAGCACTTAGACAATTTACAACACGTTTTACTTTGTTAGCTTCTACTATAGCTGTATGCCTACGTAACCTATATTTACAACAGTTTTAAGCCTAGTAGCTGCTCTACACAACTAATCGTAATTTTAACATCTATTCTCTCTTGCTACTTACCCTCTGCAACCTATACTGCTAGTTAACTATGTTAAGCATTATATTTTTTTTAAAAAGCCTTTAGATTATAATAATTAGTTCTATTTTAATAAAATGTTTATGTGTTGAAAATTAATATAATCTAGATAGAAAAAAAGTATGTAATAAGATTCTATTTCTAGTTAGCTAGCTAATAGGCTAGAATATTATATTAAGCTTAAAGTAGCTAACGTACTCTACAGGCAACTTGCTTACACACCTAAGTTACTTACTTTTTGCTAAGACTCTACTAAACTACTTTTTTTACACTAATGCATTTCTAACAACACTACTTAGATGTGTTAAAAGAACATTAAATATAACTTACACTTTAGGCTTTTAAATAAAACATAACACTTTTAAAGTAATATACTATTGTTATATATAAAGTCTTTTAAAAAATAATAGATAACTAATATACTAAACAACTTTTATAAGCTAATTGTACAGCTAATTTATAAAAGCTAAGTAATAATAAAAAGTAGGTAATTATTAAGCACATACTTAAGCTATATACATAAGAATTTTCCTCTTAGCTAGTAGCTATAGCTAATATAGCTAATTATTTACACACTAAGTATAATTTAGGCTATATTAGCATAAACTAGCCTAGTATGTTTGTAAAGTTTTAAGTATAAGTATAGTTAGTAAATATTTAGCTTATTATAAAGCCTATTTTATTAAAGTTGTATATGTTATTATTCTAAATGCTATACTTAGCTTTAAATCACTCTAGAATTTTTATAAAAAGCCTTTTTATAGTTATACTTTTGCTTAAACTTTACTTTAAGTTTTAGATAACACTTTATAAACATACTGTTGCGTTTGCTAAAAGGTTAACCTCCTAGCTAGCACAGCAGAAGAATATATATAGGCAGATAGTTGTATGCGACACACCCCCTAGCTTAAACAGTGGAATAAGAGAGGTAAAACAACCTTAACACACTCTCCTCTAGCCTAAGCAATAGAACTTAGAGACAGATCTAAATACAAGGTAGCCTCTGTAATAGGCGCACTGCCTAAATGCTTTTTGCTAAGCGTAGGAATTAAACACATAGTGCTTAGGGATAGTGCGTTCTAATTAGTGGAGTAGGGAGAGCAGGGGTGTAAAAATTCTCATGCGCTAACTATCCACACTACGCCGCGAACTAGGCTTATAACTGTTGCGTTTGTTAAAAGATTAACCTCCTAGCTAGCACAGCAGAAGGATATATATAGGCGGATAGTTGTATGCAACACATACTAGGCTAGTCTATGCTAATATAGCCTAGATTATGCTTAGCGCGTAAAGAATTAGCTATATTAGCTATAGCTACTAGCTAAAAGGAAAATCCTTACGTATATAGCTTAAGTATGTGCCTAATAATTACCTACTTTTTATTATTACTTAGCCTTTATAAGTTAGCTATAGAATTAGCTTATAAAGGTTATTTAGTATGTTAGTTATTTATTATCTTTTAAAAGACTTTATATATAGCTATAGTATGTTACTTTAACAGTGTTGTGTCTTATTTAAAAGCCTAAAGTATAAGCTATATCTAATTTTTTTTTAGCGTGTTTAAGTAGTAGTGTTAGAAATGCATTAGTGTAGAAACAGTAGTTTAGTAGAGTCTTAGTAAAAGTAAGCAACTTAGGTGTGTAAGCAACTTGCCTGTAATGTAAGTTAAGAATAAGCACTTAAAAAACTAATTACTTAAAGTCTTAACATAAATTACTACAACATAGACTACTACTAAGCTAGATAAAATCTCTTAGCATAACTAACGTTATATGTAAAATAGAATATATAATAATCTTCTAATTAATTTTAATGCTTCTTCTTTATTATTTTTATATATACATGTGTTATGCCTAGTCTTTCTACAGTTTCTATAGCGCCGTTAACATAGTAAGGCTAGTTTAGTATAATTACTACTATAATATACCTAATAGGCAAGTTAGCTACACAAGCAAGTTAGCTACTCTACTAAGACTCTACTAAAACTACACTCTATTCTAGCTTATATTACTACTATCTAGTTTCATAAAGTATAATATTATATTATATACTATTTTAGTACAACATTTGCTTCTATTTTATACATATGTAAGTTATATTTTACTCTATAGTACTATGTATAGCATTTTATATAGTTATACTTTTTATAAGTATACACTTTTTTAATTTTTTATTACTACACGCTTTTAACTTAGTAATGTTAAGTATAAGCTATTTTTAGCTATAAAAGTATTTTTATATTATACTATTATACTTTCTTCTACTTATCTCTACTAAGTTCTTAGAAGATAAGAGATGCTATGTCTTTTCCTTAACTAAATAGAAGAGGTGTATTATTATTATAAAACTAGTAATAAGTTAAAAAGAGATAGTAATGAAGCGCTAGCTTTTGTACTAATACACATGTTTATATAAGTAAACACTAGGTGTTATTTAAATAATTGTATAGTAGAGAATAATCTAAGTGTTTAGTTAATATTTAAACATAACTATAAATAGATAATCTAGCTAGAAGATCTATACTTATTATATATTCTTTTATTTCTTAGCTTAGTTGCTACTACGCCTTTAGCTACTTTTTGTTAGCATTACTAGGTTTATATCTATATTTTTAGCTATAACTATTAGCTATGTAACCTATAACATAACGTACACTACAAGTGAGTTGAAGAATTAGCTATATTAGCTATAGCTACTAGCTAAAAATAAAATTCTTACGCACATAGATTAAGTATATGCTTAATAATTACTTTCTTTTCATATTATCTAGCTTTTATAAGTTAGCTATACAATTTGCTTATAAAAGTTATTTAGTATGTTAGTTATATATTATTTTATAAAAGACTTTATACATAGTAATAGCATGTTGCATTAAAAGTATTATGTTTTATTTAAAAGCTTAAAGTATAAGCTATATCTAATATTCTTTTAGCATATTTAAGTAGTGTTGTTAGAAATGCATTAGTGGAAAAAAAGTAGTTTAGTAGAGTCTTAGTAAAAGCAAGTAACTTAAGTGTGTAAGCAACCTGCCTGTAGTGTACAATACGCTGCTTTATATACTTTTATGTTCTTTTTATGCTAGTTTGTTAAACCTTACATGCTTTTAGTAATGTTTACTTATTTATTACAGTCTAATACTTTTTTATTTATAACATATGCATTCTTTTTTACAGATATTATTCTATTAACCTACTTCTAGCTATGCTACACACTGTTAGTAGCTTATAAAGTAAGTGTTACTTCTAGTTATACATTCTCTAGCTTTTCTCTTTTATTACTCAACTTTTATAAGTTTTATTAACCTTTATTATGCTAGTAGCTTACTACGCTTGTTGTTTTTACTAAGCTAATTACGTTTGTTAGTTAGGCTATATAATATTAAAGCTATACTTTACTTATAAAAAGGTAGAAAACTTATATATCTTAACTTAAACTTTTAAGTCTTATTTTAAATGTATTTCTAAAAGCGTTTACTACAACCTATTTTTTTCTAATTGTTAAATGGGCTCCGACAGCTAGCTGCTTATAGTATGAGCACTTAAGTAGCAAGAGTAAGAGTAGTGTACAGTGTGCACAGCGTACAAGGTAGGTAAAGTAAGGGCAACATGTTTCTAGTTCTATTACTCTTATCTTTCCTCTATATAAAGGAAAAAGAGGATATTTAGATATTTATACATAAAAGTTTACACCTAAGTATTATATAACATAGATACATAATTTTGCTTATGCGTAATTACTTATATCTAGGCTATAACACTACTGCTATGTATAGACACTAGCAACTTTTCTTTTTATTTAAAAAGTTACCTTCTGTACACGTTACCTTTTTTCTGTTTATATAGGTCTATCTAATTACATTCTGCCTTTCCTTTACCCTATTTATTAGAACTTGCCTCTAGTAATGCTATGCGTTAGGATAGGCTAGTTGCGCTATGTAAATAGCTTTTCTCTTCTTTATCCTTTGCTTTCTAAGCCCTGCTGTACAATCCCCTAGCTCTTTTCTCTTTTTATATAGTGCTAGCAGTAATAGATCCTTATAATAAAAAAAATAAGTATATATAATATAAAAAAAAAACTAAAAAAATAGGCCTTATATAAAGGTGTTGTTAGTCTAGTTAGTCTAGAGCATCTTTGCGCACAAGATCTAGCTAGTCCACAGATGCTTCTATCTAGACAAAGAGGTAGTTAGTTAGAACTAATAATTAAAGAGCCTAATTTAGTGTTTTTTTTATATATACATTTACTAAGTTATTTTTACTATTAATCTACTTTATCTTAGTAATTTTTTTTTATATAATTTATAAAGTAACATAATGTTAATTATAAGTTACTTTTTACTAGTAGTGCCTAGCTTAATAAGGTAATTATATAAAAACTTTAAATTTATATAGATTACTACTAGAATTAGTAGTAGTTTAAGTGTTTATATAATTTACTATAAAGTTATACTAAAAGTAATTATATTATTAAACTTTCTAACTATTTTATATAGTTTGCTAGTAAAAACACTTCTAGTTACTCTTTTACACTTAGTAAAATTCTAGTGTATAATGTTACCTAGTATTTTAAAGTAGTTACTTTACTTTATATAGTTATTATTACTTAATATAATTAAGAATTTTAGCTATAAGCTAAAGTTTTTATTATTAATAAATAATTTATTTATAAAAATAAACAGCTTTACACTATTAAGCTATAATAGTAAAAAAGTAAGACTACACTTACTATTGTCTATCTACTATTAGATTTATGTGTTAAGTGTGTTAATATTATTATATAAAAAGTTTATAGTTTATGTAGTAATAGATAAGTTAAATGCTGCCTCTAGTTA